GGCGCCGCGCCAAAACTTGAATGGACGGATAAAAACACACAACTCGCACATTACGTGATCCAGCAGCAAAAACGAACATGACAATCCCTTATGGTAGCCTGGTAAGCAAGAAAAGTCCAGACCCAACACTTCTAAAAACAATCCAAAGACTTGTGAAACACTGACTGAAAACGCAGTGCTAAGCGACCCACAGGGTTTTTCAGTCAGTGTTTCACAAAAGTCTTTTGAATTTTTGTTTTTAGAAGTGTTGGGTCTGGACTTTTCTTGCTTACCAGGCTACCATAAGGGATTGTCATGTTCGTTTTTGCTGCTGGATCACGTAATGTGCGAGTTGTGTGTTTTTATCCGTCCATTCAACTTTTCTGCTCCTGCTTTTCGTTATGAAGGAGCGGTGTCAAAGGCTGCTCATGTGACAATTCATCTAAGCTGGAACTCTTGCAGAATGTTCGCAGACCGGTTGTTTCGGCTTTGATATGAAAGGGGTCGACTGCAAAACAATGAGGTAGGTCCACAGATTTTCCGGTTGTTTATTGTTTTTCATCAAGTGTTTTATCACCTACTCCACTTGTTCTCTGCAGCCAGTACGGTTTATTACTCGTTTCTTGCCAACCTAGCAACGTGAGTTCGCGTTTGTTCCTATCTCCCTGACGTATGGCGCTGCGTTCAGTTCTAAACAGAACCCCATGCTTTCAGTTCTCTGCACTCTGGAACATAGCACTTGTAGTAGGTCTTGTCTGTCTGTTGTTTTGCCTTTGCTCCTGCCAGGGAACATCCAGTAGGCGAAAACGACTGATTGGCAGAAGGGTTGTGGCGGGCGTTTGTCCTGCGACGCATAGACCCGGGGGGTGTATATGCCACTAGGCTGCGTTCATACTACGCGACCCGTGTGAATCGGCGTTTCGAGCAGACCGGCATTCAGTGATAGGGAGACTGCGCTCAAAGAAAGGTATGGGTATCTCTACCGCGTCAGGAGAATTGGCGTTCGAGAGAAAAAGGGCCGAAGGATGGCATGGGTAATAAAGGATAGAATGGCTTGTCGCGACTCCTGTGCTGTGTCTTAAGTCAGCTAACTAGAAAAGTCTGTGGTGGTGCACGCGATGCTGCGACTCAGAACTTACTGTGTGCGGCGTCACACTAGAGTATTCACCGAGACGGCGTTTCGCAATCTAACTGCGAGCTTTAGAACGAGCCTTAGCTAGTTAAAATGTTGTATTTGTTTCGCACTGTATTTGTTGCGTGCGACCTCTAAGAGTCGGAGACCATGAAAAGGATTGTGCCGCGTTCATACTCAGCGACACTAGCGATTCAGCTACGCGTTTTCGCAAAGTCGCGCAACCGCTGCCTTCGTTGGAACGCTGGAAAGCCGTAGAGGGAAAGGATCTCTGCGGCGTTGCGGCGTTTCAAACTAATTAGGGAGAGCGGAAGAGAATGCGTGATTGCCATCCCGCACGCGCGGCGGCGAAACGGGCGCGGTCCTTCTTCTTACCTGTGTTAACACTGTCGATGGGCCCGCGGATTTCCCAACGTAGGCCATGAAACTGTAGACAGTTGTGACTATTTTTGGTTCTACATTGCCTGTTGTCGCCATCTGCGACCTGAAGCGTCCTCATTGGCGGGCGCGACGTCGCACGCGACGCCCGTCAGCGCGGCGAATTACGATTCTCTTGTCACGTACCCCAACTGTTAGCGATGGCGCGCTGCACAGGGACCGCCAATTGTGCTGAATAGTGATAAAGCCGTTTTAGATACGGATCAATTTGTTGATTTTGCCCTTTCTTCGATCTAGGAGAATCGGCTGTCTTCCGACTGATACGCTTGGAGAGCCTTTCTCTCGTCTGCAATTCTTCCTACCGCTGCACCCACTCCCAGATGGGAATAACGTCACGGTGACCTGCTTTACGCTCACGTTCATACACATACAGTCGTTGGCCTAGATAGAGAATCGGAAAATGTCTTATGAAGTAGATATCGCTGGTATTATAGTCGTGTTGTTGCGATCAGACCAGTGCGGATGGTAGGGCGCGTCAGTGCGGCTGCTTTTGGCACGCCGCCAAGTCGTTCCTCACTAGTCATTGAGGCGCGTAAGCAACAACAGTTGGTGGTAAACGACTGACACGAACGATATTGTACAGTATTGTCGCTTGCTCGCTCCAGCGACTAATAAAAACGGGATTGGCGTCATGCCAGACGCAACTGCACTGGCCCCGTCTCTTCATCCAGCGAACCAAACATATCAACGGGCCTCAGGCGTTCCGGCCACAGCTGCATGTTGCTGTGCCCACTCTCCTTATACATTCATCTCGGCCTCTCTTTTGTCTGGATGTTCGCAGCCACGCCGTTGCCATGAGATATAGTCGGTACTTATTTCAATGGTTCCTCTCTGTTTACTGGCCAGTCATTCGATTTGGATGTTGTCTATTGCCCCCTTGTCCTTATGCGGGTTTAGTTCGCGACAGTCGCGACAACGCGTGCACAGTTTTGTATGAATGTCTCATCCTCAATATCTAGTAAAGGGGTGAGGCTAGCCCTGAAAACTTGAAAGCTCTGAAAACAAAACGGGTGTAGTTTCTAAAACTTTCGTAATGGACGGCAGGTATTCCATGTGGTTTCAGGCAATGCTGCGAACTGTGCTGTCTCGGGTATCTACCCAGATTCGAGCATACTCGACTCCTGCGGCTATTAGGGATGTTAAACCGAAGCACACTAAGGTAAGTTCTCATCAAATTGTCGGATTTGAAGACTGCGGCACTTCTCCTTTCTCCAGCTCTTCATAAACAACGAATGGGTTGATGCGGTGAGCAAGAAAACATTCGAAACGGTCAACCCTACCAACGGCAAGGTGATAACGGCTCTTGCTGAAGCTGATAGAGCAGATGTCGAGAAAGCCGTGAAGGTGAGTACATTTTCAAGCATGCGAAAGGGAAAGACGACCAAGACGACCAAGACAATCGTAATTTTTCGCGTCGTCGCGCGCAGCATATTCTGCGACAGTGCGCGGCACTCGATGTGCACCAGCTTCTCGATTAGAGCAATGGAACATTCTAGTGTCCAGGCAGGACAACTCGTCCGTTGGGAATGGCATTGCTCGCCACACCTACCAGCGCGGCAGTATGATTTCTGTCACATACCCGCGAAAGACTTCCGAGGGCGCACAACAAATGTCGGGCCTTCAGGGCTGATCAGAGAAGGGGATTGCTCGCATAGACCCCTGTTGGTTCATCCACGTATCACGGCGGGTGGACGCAGAAGAGCAGGCTAAGGCACTGTTCAAATTTTCGGCGGATGAACGGGCCGTCGACGGCGCTAAGCAATTGCAACAGCGTCCAAAAGCTCAGCCGATATACAAGTCAGTGTTTTTATCCCTCCCAGACAAATCTGGTACAAATTTACCTTCTCGGAGGATAGAAGGCTTGGTTGGCCTGGGCGGGAGTCAACCCTGGATTTGAGCCGTGCGCCACGGGAGTGGTAAGCGCGCCACTTGTCACTATACCACCTCCCCTCGGTGGGATACATATGAAGACCAAATCATGTTTTAACACACGTCGCTTCGAACGCCTTTCAAGATTGGTTCAAACGCCACAAACTACTCGGTTTATATGAGATATGGTACGTTGTTGGTCTCACGTTTTTGTACACTCGCTGTCATATCTCATGTTCGTACTCGCATAATGCACGAAATGTGCATATTTTCAAGTCTAATGAGTGTTCACTTTTTTCCTGTATTCATTAGTAGCAGGGCACATCATTGGTTGGGGATTTTGGTCCCCTTTTTTTTTGGGGGGGGGGGAGGTGGTACGACGACCCGCGCCCCCTTCGGCCCTCTGTCCCTCCCCATCGATTCGAGTCGTCGAGAAGCGGGGGGGGGGGTAAATAGCACATGTGAAACATGAAAAATCGCGAAGACAATACGACCCCCCCCTCTACCAGTTTTCAGATTTTCAACTTCCTGCCACTTTTTTCCAAAATTTCCCCAAAAGTTCCCTACTTTTTACCAAAAAATTTCGCTGTCGAGCCGAGGGGGGGGGGGGCGAAGCATATAGTAGGCATGAAACAGGAAAATCACGAAAAGCCAGCCTCTCCAACGCCAAAACGTAAATACGACCCCTCTCCCAAAAATGACCAAATACCCCCCCCCCCCTTTACAACGTCGAACGAGAAAAATCAACTATCAAAATAATTTTTTCCCAACCCAAATACGACCCCCCTCTCCTGGCGGCCAAATATTGTATTGGGAATTCTCCAACAACGATATGCTCTGATTGGAGTGCTGCTCATTCTAACCGTCACTTCATTTGTTGCTGAGTAGACGGCTAACGAAATAGAAGTGATGGCGAAATAGCGTGCCCCAATGAGATCCACTCGAACGGGTGCGCGCGGGAAAGTCATTCAAAGAGGCTACTCGCTTCGTTTAGGTACGGTACGTGACACAGGCATAAGACTTTGTGGGGTGCCTGCCAGCGATTAGGCAGAGGAGCGCAGAGCAATAAGGGACTGCCACTGCGCGTAAGGCATAGCGTGAAGGTACAGGAGAAAAGGCGCGATAAGCGAGCGGGAGATGAGTTTTTTCGAGGGGAAGGGATATCGGGGTGGATGAGCCTCTTAGTATGCGTGAAAAGTTGAATGTGGAAGGTAAAAGTGGCCATAAATGCAGCCTTTCAGGCAAGAGAGCGCAGAGAAAAGAAGAAAGTTGGCGCCATTAAAGGGATTAAATTTTAGCTGTCCGTAGACCTTTAGGTACCATTCTAAGCATCTGCCCGCCAAAAGTCAAACTCCCGGTAAACTATCTTCGCTCGTAGCGCCGGCGCAAAGTATGAACGCGTTCCTGGCTTTTGACATGTCCCATTAATATCCTATCTCGTTGGCAAAGCGTTTTCATTCGATTTCTAGTGCACTGGTCCTCTTCTGCAGTGCAGTATATTTGCTTTACTGTACGTTATAACAGCTGTCAATTGTTTCAGGCGGCTACAGATGCGTTTCGTCTTGGTTCACCATGGCGTAAAATGGATGCTGCAGATCGCGGTATGTTGATGCATAAGTTGGCTGATTTGATGGAGCGCGACAAAGTTTTCCTCGCTGTAAGTGTTTTTTCCCGTAGCACATTGATTCGTCCGGAATTATTTCCTAACACTCATTTATTTTTGTTGAACCTTCGTCATTTATCATTATTGCAGTCACTCGAAACACTCGATAACGGGAAACCGTACTGGGAATCGTTCTTCGTTGATGTACCCTTGGCAATCAATTGTATTAGGTAAGACAGGTTCCATGCATTTTTGAGATGTAATAGGGAAAAATTAGACACCAATGCAGATAATACCACGCCTGTCCTATCGTTAAAGAAAAGCTGCACACTCACTTCCGTAGATCCTAGTCCATTTCGTGTGCGGCGCGAATGGTTCCGCAGCTGCAGATGCGGGTCACTTCTCCTCAAAAAGCACAGGCACGAGGCTGGAGGCAGGGCACGCCATCGCGTTGTGATCATTTCCCGCTAAATACGACCCCCCCCCCGAATTAGGGTCTTAATACGACCCCCCTGTCACGAGGGTACAAATGAAAAGAAGCGCAAAAGGGACGAAGAAAATGACAATAAAGAGAACTGGGCGCTATTGAACTATTCCTACGCCAAAAACTCAAAAAAATTTATGCTGAAACTTTGTCTATAGATGTTATTCGATGTCCTGATCACGAGTATGACATCATTTCTCCATACCAGCACTATTTAGCGCTCTGCTGAGGCTGAAACTGGGAAAAGGAAAGATTTCCCTCAGGCCAGGCTCAGTCTTAGCAAAGCGCAGATGACCATAGTGTCCTACGTTAGAGCTGGCGTCCAAGAATAAATATCATATTCGTAACAGGATGTCAAATAACCCCCGTATACAAGTTTTCATCGATTTTGGTGATTTAGGGTATTTTGGCCCCGGCGCCTGTGGCGCGGCGCCAAAATACCCTGAATCACCAAATCGATGAAAAGTTTTGGGCGAAGCGGGTGTGATATTCGTGTTCAGGAGGTTGTACCACTGTAACAGTATTTCCATCCAAATCTGCCCTCTAGAAAAAAATCGATAAAAAATCGGCCTGATTTCGGCAGACTGGGGTAGGAATAGTTCGATAGTGTAAACACTACAACAATACATCTTAGAAAACTGCTAAAGAACAAAAAAGAAACCTAAAATACCAAACAAACGACAAAAAACTCACCAGAAGCCGGCGAGCGCGCTAATACAAGCATGATGGAGCGATTTTACGACCTGAGCCAATTTCAAGCCAAACACTTGAAAAGTACCCCTCTTTTGAACACCCATAACTTCGTTGAAAGTAAAGCTCTCGGAGAGGGGAAAGTGGGAATGAGTGGAGCTAGGTTGGCTCTTGTTACCTGAGTTTGAGCGATTTCAAAATTTCTTTTCTAGAAATTTTCCCCGTTGTGATCCTTGCGTGATCATGGGGGGCCAACCACAAGTCGCTACGCTTTGGACATCCATGGCAAGCTTCATACACGGCCTTTCGTAAAAAAAGAACTGTGCCGGAAGCATGAAGCTTTCTACTTTCCAGCAAAACTTTCATTTTATCCCTAGGCCTGCTATTCGAAAAAATCCCCGTTGTGATCACAGGGTGATCACTGCCCCACGACACGAAAAATCAACCCCTCCGACGCCATGAAACCTCCGGTTGGTTTAAAGACTTTTGTATGCTTCTTAAACGTATGTTTTCGCCGAGTGTATCAGGAAACCAGTCGGATCGCCCGGCTAACGCCGAGCTCTCCTCCTTCTTGGAAGCCCGGCTTCGCCGGGCTCATGCAACTGCTTTAGAGCCTCACTTCTCTCGTGAAAGAAAGGAGCAAAGTAAGGCATAAGCAGGGCGATACTACTGTCTTAGGCATTTATGATGCTCTCATGGACTAACTGTCTTCTAATCAAATAAATGTAGGAACGCGCCATATAGTCGCAGGGCACTTTTATAATGAAAAGTTCAAAATCTGGTCATGGATAATCGATTACTCTCCTCCCCATCTTATGACAGCCACGGATGCTTCGGTCTCCGCAGTCGCTGCGTGCTCCTGTTCAGGCGAGCGTCGGTCGCGCCAATATGGTACCCCTTCACCTCACCTATCCCCAAACTAACCTCAGCTATTCCCCGCTCAGCCACCCTACAGGTCACACTCAGCTGCTACGCGAATAGCCCGTGCAATGGTTCTGAGTGCACTAAATGGTTGTGTTATGTGTTATGTTATGTTGTGGAGGGTGTTATGACTATCAAAACGCTACCACAATTTGATAATGCAACATTAATCGGTTCAGATTCCGATTGCGGTCGATCCATTTTCTTCCCATCTTGTCGCAACCGTAGACGCTTACCGCCGCAGGGGCTATGTGCTCCTAATCGCGAAATCGCCGTTCTCATCTGGTATCCCCTCACCACATCATATCCCACTGACCCTATTCAACCGGCACCCACTCCCGCACGTGGTATGCAGCCGCCATGCAACATAGGGACACTACGCCGCCACTGTTCTTACCACCGCCTTGCTCGTGCTCACGTCCAGCTCCCAAGCGAGCAGCTCCTGCAGTAGCACAGAGTATATCACAGTGGTTGGCTTAGATAGCGGGAGCGATTCACAATCCAAACAACTTCTTAGTTCGTTGCTGTAACATGGATTAGCTTGCAGTTTTGCTAGCGGTTCTTTCCTTCTCTCTTGCCGCCTGCTCCTATTCAAGCGTACGCTACGCATCCCCTTACTGTACCCAGTTTGCCCGATTCAATCCATATGCCTCCTTCCCCTGCATGGGCTCAGATCCGACTGAGTACGCGCAAGGGAGTGAGGATGGGAGAAGGGGGTCACTCGATACTAACTCCCACCTTCCTCACCTCACCCCATTCCGTACTCGCCACTCCACCCCCCCCCACCTTGCCCCTTGCACGCGCTTACGTCCAGCTGCCACGCGAGCAACCCGTGCAATGGCTCGGAGTGTAGTGGTTTTCTTATGTAGTGGATAGTGTTATCACAACCAAAACAACTTCTTAGTTCGTTACGGTAACATAGTTTGGCTTGCAGTTTTGTTAGCGGTTGTTTCCTCATCCCTTGGTGCGCGTTTCTACTGAAACGCGCGCTACGCACCCCTCACTGTACCCCCCTCCCCGACCCTCCCCTCTGCCTCCCTCCCATACACGTGCTCAGCTCCGGCTGAGCACGTGCAGGAGAGGGAGGCAGGGCGACCCGGTACCCCCACCCTGCCCCCGCACGAGCACACGTCCAGCTGCCACGCCAGCAGCTCGTGCAATGGCTCGGAGTGTACCGAATGGTTGTCTTATATAGCGGAGGCTGTTATCACAATCAAATCATTGGACTGCTACATCCTCCAGTCGGTTACCGGTTTGCCTAGCGGTCGTTTTCGCCTCCAGCGAACTCGAACCCGTGAAGTATTGTGCGGACGGACAGACAAACATACATACATAACTACATACAAACATACAAACCGACACACAAAGTTACTGGTTTATAGAATGAAAAGGATAATTCATTGGGCACCAATTGGCATCACTTCTGCAATGCGCCATGCATAGGGCTTTCACGCAGAGCTATTGGGAAGGTGCAACTTCTAGAAAGGGCTTCCTCCGTGCAAGTAGATGTGTGTAGGTGTGCTTCTGCAATAGAAAGGTTCGGAAGTGTACTTTCATCTGTTTATTAATTTATGATGGATATTCATTGGCGCGAGGTGGTGTAGTGACAAGTGGCGCGCTTACCACTCGCGCGATGCCGGGTTCAAATCCCGGGTCGACTCCCGCCCAGGCCAACCAAGCCTTCTACCCTCCGGGGACGGTAAGATGGTACCAGATTCGTCTGGGAGGATAAAACACTGACTTCTACATCGGCAGGGCACCGCAGGGCACGTTGCTGCGCTGGCAGGTTGCTTCTGCCTTGTGTGGGTCTCTTCAGAGGTTCTTAAGGCTTTCATCATTGAAGCTGAACGACATCTGGGTATCGCTGCACCCTCACTTCAGAAAGGTCCCCGCGCTTACGACCCCCCCCCCTCCCTCGAGGTCAAATACGACCCCCCCCTGTTGTGATGATCACAACGATGGCGTGCACTGGCTGGAGGGCAGTGATGTCCAGTGCCGGTCTCCATATTCCATACACCCGCGCTGCCGCTCGGCTAGCGAGGCGCCTGGCCATAGTCAGACTACTTGTTTGCGTGGTCTCACTTCCTATCGTTTTCTCCCGTTGCGTACGTGTTTAGCCGCGGGACCTCGCTATCGATAGAAGTTCTGCACCTTGGGAACAAAGCGTTCGGAGGGGAGACGGGCAAGAGAATCGTAAGTTGCCGCTTCGTCGCGCGCGGCAACGGGCGCGACGTCTCCTCAATTTGCACTACCCTTTCGATGGGAGCATCGGATTGCATGTAGACAAGGACATGGTTTGGACTTATGTCATACATTGTCTACTCTCGACCAATACTTCCCTAAAATCGCCGTCATTAGCAGGCGCGACGTCGCACGTCACGCCCATTGGCGCGGCGAATTACGATTCTCTTGCCATATACCCGCGGGGACGAAGGATGGAGACGGCACTCGGGTACCACTACCTAACCCGTTTCCGTGCGCCTCTAAGTGGAGAACGTGGTGCTCTACTGCAGGCCCATTCGCCGGCACATGCACCAACAGCTCACGGAGGCGAGCGTACAGTTTCTCTTTGATAGTGCAACGTTGCGAAGGTTTTGCCTTCACTCAATCGGTCAGCACCAATGCGAGCAGCTCAGCTAATGAAGAGGTATCTCAAAAATATCTCGTTAAGGTACTACGCAGGATGGGCCGACAAATATCACGGCAAAACTATACCGATTAGAGGCGATTACTTCACATACACGCGACACGAACCGGTGGGAGTCTGCGGCCAAATCATTCCGGTACGATAACTTGTAGGATATTTCTGATTGCTCTGATTCGTTGGATGCACTTCTTTTATATAGATTACAGGTCTGATGTTGAAGACCACCTATACCTTATGGCATTAATTTTCTCCTGTTATAGAAAGGTTCCGGTCCATAACCTCAGAGGTATGAGACTGTGGATTGAATCCTACCTGCAAGAGAAGATTGATAGCTGAGGTTAGAGTCGGGTGGGCAATCTCGGGACTTGTCCTATATTCGCAGGTCAACAGTGATTGGGACATGGCGGCTGTCAATGAAAAATGCCACCCACAGAAGTTGCTCTAGCCATCTGGGACCATTTCTTCCAGCGGTCCCTTTCGTGGATCGGCTCACGCTCGGGCCAACCAAACCTTGTACCCTCTGGAGCCAGTGAATTACCAGCTTGTTTGTAGATTTGTAGGGATAAAAACATGTAGGCCATATGGCATTCACATGGCACTGCAACTCTGTATGGAAGCTGACTGCCACATCTCTGGAAAGGGATCGATCAAAGGCGAAATGGAAGACGAAAATGACTAACTGCTCTTCAGTGGAACTTTCCTCTTCTCATGCAAGCATGGAAGCTTGGGCCAGCGCTGTCAATGGGCAACGTTGTAGTTATGAAGCCAGCTGAACAAACTCCACTCACTGCTCTTCATGTGGCTGGCCTGATCAAGGAGGTACCCTTAGAAATACTGTGAATTCACATCACAATCAAGACAAAAGACTTGTTCCAGGCAGGGTTCCCTCCAGGTGTAGTGAATCTGCTCCCAGGCTATGGACCAACAGCTGGGAACGCCATAGCCACCCACCATGATGTGGACAAAGTAGCTTTTACTGGTTCAACGGTTATCGGACGAGTTGTAATGAAAGCAGCAGCGGAGAGTAATATCAAGAAGTGAGTATCTATATCGCTATCGATCAGGCCGTGTTCATACTTTGAGATTCGAGCGATCCAGTCGTGCACTGGCTGATCACGATTCTCAAATTGCGCCATTGTGATCGATCGCGCTCGCACGCTAATCGTTGTGGCATTGCAATTGCTAGCTGAGCGGATCCGACCAAGCATTCCGAGCAGTCATATTTCGCCAGTCATTAGGCTCACCACCTGGAAAACTCCGTAGGAGGCCGTCTTTTTCCGAGCAGTTTACAGTTGTTGACTATTTTAATGCAACTTTTATAGTGTTTGTTACACGGGTGTCGTTGTTTTTCAGGATCTCGCGTATGTTGTGGACGAATGTTGATGAACTCTGCGATAACACCAGATTTGAGTGCTTTCGCGGCTCGAATTGCGTGATAGGAATGCCGAACGCTTGTGACGACGTCTGTGCTCCGCCCACTACCTAATGCCCTGCCCTTCGTTCATTTTAAAGCTTCTCCGGGGGTGTGGTTGTTCCACTATTCCTATTTCTAGTCGGTGTGTTCAGAGTAAATAGATAAAGGGGTGTTGATGCCGTAACGATACCGATACGTCCGAGTCTGCCCTCTCTCTCTCTGCACTATGCTCGTACAAGTTCGAATTAGGAGAAGGTTCTAGCCGTGTTTCCGATGGCTATTTTTCAGCAGTTTTCTTCCTTACCACTACGCGCGATTTACCACCGCAGAGCGTGACGATCAGTGAGTCTTGCTTTCCTTACCTTTCGCCGTGGTCTAACAATTGGCCGTGGAGCACGCTCGGCCGCTATAGCCGAACACCCGAATAGTGCGAGTGAATCGCTCTAATTGCAGTGTATGAACACGGCCTTAGAGATTCTTGTGCCGCAAATAACCTCTTAGGAATTGTGTTCTTACAGAACCACTCTTGAACTGGGTGGCAAGAGTCCCAATATTATATTTGCTGATGCAGATCGTAAGTACCTAAATCTTGCCAGCTTTTGTCATAGATCCTGGTTAATGTAAGTGTCGACTTATGCGGGCTAACGACGGGGGGGGGGAAGGAGGGAAGAGGCGGCTTTCTAAGCGTGCATATGCAACGCGCCGTTCCCGCAACATCGTTTGTGCTGTTTTCAGTTGACCAAGCTGTTCAACTGGCCCACTTTGGCATATTCTTCAATCAAGGCCAAGTGTGCTGCGCAGGTTCTCGTGTTTTCGTGGAAGGAAAGGTGCGGTTTGAGTCATGTCTTTCTTAATGCTTATCAATTCTTCTTATTGAATTCCAGATTTATGATGAGTTCATTGCACGCTCCAAGGCTCTAGCTGAAAAGAGGAAGCTTGGAGATCCGTTCGATTTGAGTACTCAGCAAGGACCTCAGGTATGGCAACTTCATGTAGTTCCTAGAATGATTATGTCCCTTCCATCGGTTATCCTAATCGTGATCGAATTGATCTATTTTGAGGTCGACCAAGAGCAGCTGAATACAATTGAGCGTTATGTACAGCTTGGCAAAAAGGAGGGCGCTCAACTGGTAACAGGTTAGTCTGTGTTCCGTTTCATGTGTAAAAAGAGCCTTTTGAGGATTCCGCCCTAAAGACACAGTTAATAATTATTCGATTGTCCCGATCATTTTCTTGCCCGATTTCATTTCTGTCTTTCTGTCTTGTTCTTTGATTTTTCCGAAGGATGTACCTTTTTCGCGGCTTAAAAGTCGCTAGCAAGGCCTGCAGAGGTTAGCCATGACGCTCTGGCTTCACTCATGAAGGTCATCCTCCATCCTTCTCATCTCATTTGAAAGTCGCTGTGTGTAGTCATGTCATCTGCTTCTCTTCTTCTGATTAATCTCCTGGTTTGCGTGCTTGTAATCAGGATACTTTGAAGTGTGCGAGGTACTTGCAAGTAAGTAGAGTATTATGACAAATAGATTTGAGACCAGCCTTCTCTTCTCGTGGTGGTGTGCTAAGGCGCTTTTGATGTTTCACTTGTTCTTTTTTATCTCAGCTGCCGCATTAGAAACCCTTTTCAAGCCTTGATTGGTAATCGAAAACTGTGACTTTGAGGTAGTCAGATTAGTACTGACTACCTCAAAGTCACAGTTTAGTAGTATTGTACTTTATTATTCAACACTAAGATTAATCGGTGAATAATCGGTCCTTCAGGTGGAAAGCAGTGGGGAAAGGAAGGTTTCTTCTACGAGCCGACCATATTCGCCAATGTCAAAGACGAAATGGCAATTGCTCAAGAAGAGGTAATTCTTTCCACATCAGGGAACTAAGTTAGGTTCACTTGAGCTCACACCTGAGCTCATATTTTCATATGTATTGCGGTTCCGTACTATTGGATACAGCACAGAATGTTTGGGACTATGATTTTCCTGGGCAACGGGGGGTGGCATGTTTGGCAGAAAACGCATTTTGTTCAATTAAGTGAAAATGGTCCACCTTGTCAAGGTAGGTATTAGGGCATACAGAATTATAAGTTCAGGAAAACACGGATACAGTTTCCCGAACTGCGCGTAAAACTGAGCGCGTCGAACCCGCAAGTACACACAGCAGTTTTTGCCTAGGAAGCCCCAGGTCGGGGCGAAAGCTGATTTAGAGTAGCTCTCGCTTCCGTCTCTCAAATTTATTTAGCCATGTGTAGAACCCAGGCTAAACATGGGTAAATGAACTTGCCCTTTCCTGTGCATTTGAGGGAACGCGTGCAGCTTCCGTGGGTACTGTCTCCCGTGTGTTTTCCTGAACTTACAGTCTTGTTAAAGGCATCTGACTGCTGCAAAGCCGGGTGACTCAGCACTTTGTTGGTCGTCTGTTTTCTCTTGGCACATGCGATCACTGCTCCTTTTCTTTCTTTTCCTCACTTCTAGGACGTCTGACTAGGGATCCGCAGCGATAGATTTTGGTGAGAATCCGAGAGTAGCGCCCATAAATGCTTCAACCGCGCGACAATCATCTACCGCGATTTATGTGTTGAACCGTTACAGTTTGATTCTGAATGCCATTGAACTGGCGGCTGTAGCGGTCTGGCGAGAACAGCTGGGGTGTTAGATCGCTTGAATCGCGATCTAATAGCACCATTCAGACTCGGCCTAATGAGCTTGCTCTTCAGATTTTCGGACCAGTGATGAGCGTCATACGCTTTGATACCATGGACAATCTTGTAGAAATAGCCAACAATACAATCTATGGTCTAGCGGCTGCTACTATGACAAAAGATATCGACAAAGCTCTTTATGTTGCCAATAATATCAGGGCAGGAACAGTTTGGTAAGCGTTTGATAATGTCATTTAAATCTCACCGTGGAAGATTCACTGGAAGTATCAATAAAATCCACGAAATTCCCTGATACGGTCCACCCTTCACTGCCCACGTTTTGGAGATTCAGTTGGATTCAGGCTAAAGCATGAGGACAGATAAAACAAGGACGGAATTTGTCCTCACGTACCATGGCTCCTCACGACCCGCCGAAATGCTCCCAAAATATTGATCAAGAAAGAGGATGGGACGTCCGGTACGGTTTTATCGCGCCACCGCCTTGGAGATCATGAAAATATATCACGAGGCCATGTACGACCCTTACCCTTCTCCCTGATGTGTTTCGCACAACAAGGTGTTCCATGGGTTGTTTCTGAATGTAAATTCCTGGACACTTAACGAGAAGGGGAGACGGACAAGAGAATCGTAAATTGCCGCATCGTCGCGCGCGGTAATGGGCGCGACGTTTCCTTGATCTGCATGAGCACGATTGGAGCATTGGAATTCATGTAGACAAGGACATGGTAGCCATTTATATTTTTTGGTCATAATGTCCATTCCTGACCAATATCACCTAAAATCATCGTCATTAGCAGGGACGTCGCGCGCGAGGACCTTTGACTACGACTCTGTTGCCACATACCCACGAGAGGGGTCGTATCTGGCCTGGGAAGAAACCTTGTTGTTGCTCCTCCCGGTTTCACAAAGACAAAAAAGCGTTTCCGTCTCGTTTTTCCCGTTTTTCTTCCACGTAGTCGACGACGCTACGAAGCTTGTCTTTCTGGTTGCCGTTTGGAGGTGTTCACCCCCCGCGGCTAATTTTTGGTAAAGTTTGGCAGATGATTGGTTGGTTGTGAATGGGTGTCATACCGGGGAAGAACATTTGGAGGGAGAGGGTCGTATTATGCGAAAAATCTTTTCAGCGCCTAGACGTGTCCTTTCCCTAGAGATCTGTCGCAATTGTACGTTGATTCCTGGACAGTGCACATCGTTGTTGGGGAACCCTCAGCAGGGGGGGGGTCTTATTTGGGCTGAGAAAAAGAAATTTTCACTAGTCGATTTTTCTTGCTTCAGAGACGGTGTAAGGGGGGGGGGTCCTACTTGCTCGTTGTTGGTAGGGGGTCGTATTTACGTTCTTGGCCTTCTGAGAGTGGTGATTGTCTTTTCGCGATTTTCTTGATTCATGTGTACTATATAGATACCCCCCCCTCCCCCTTCCTAATCGCTCGACAGCAAAATTTTTGGGAAAAAGTAGGGAAATTTTCGAGAAATTTCGGAAAAAGTGGCAGGAAGTTGGGGAAAATCTGAGAATTGGTAGAAGGAGGGGGGGGGGGGAGGGAAGCTGTATTTTGCTCGTGGCTTTTCCCGTTTCACGTGTGCTTTTTGCCCTACCCCCTGCCCCCGCTCGACAGCTCGACGAGGAGGGACAAGGACAGGAAGGGGGGGTCGTACCAACCCCAATGATGTGCCCTGCTCCTGAACACATACAGCTAACGCAAAGCGCTTTATGCCTGCGCTTTTTCCCCATGTAAATTTCTAAACTTAAGTTTAAACTTCAGTTAAACTTCAGTTTCCAATAACGGGTGAATGGGTGAGATGTGTCACTTTTCCTGCAACTGTGAGCTCCATGCACTTTAGGGTGAACTGCTACGATGCATTCGATGCAGGTGCACCGTTTGGTGGATATAAGCAGTCAGGTGAGCCTTGTTTTATTTATTTAAGCTTATTTAGTTGCTAATGTACGCTGTAATGTCATGGACATCATTACTGTATTGCGGCTGCAAAAAGTTACAGCTTGGGGCGCGGCTGCATAGCGGCTGGTGTTTTGCATTTGCGTAAGGAAGTAGTAAATTAGCCCCACAGCTGTCGGTAGGTGCGTAGTTGCCACACGGGCTTCATGGGCTTGATTGAGGTACTTCTCTTTTGAGGCATTCTATGTTCCTTTGGTCCCTGAAACGACGAGATATTTTTGCATTTCAACATGTACCTTCGTTTGTAGGTATTGGACGTGAACTTGGCGAGTACGGCCTCGAAGCCTACACAGAAGTGAAGACTGTAACCATCAAAGTTTCCCAGAAGAACTCGTAGACATTACATGTAAACATTACTCGTCGGTCTTTTCATGAACTCTTGGCACAATTGTGGAACTCGTTCGCCAATGAGTTCATGTTTGAGGCCGACAACTAACATTGTATAGTTCAAAGATCAGGGTAAAAATTATAAAATACGTCCAAATGTGTCGATTTCCCATCACATAAGGGTTTCTCTGGAAAGATTTTTAGCTATGGATGATGGGGTGTGAAAAGTTAGTTCTACTCCTCAACGACACGCAGAAACCAAGGCTGCGTTCATAGTACGCGACTCGGGCGATTCCCAAATGGCGTCCCTGCTATTGACCGCGCGCTTCTCAACAAGTCATTGTGCTAAAGTACAGGGGAAAGCCAAAAAGAAGCAGGCTCTCGTTCATCACCTTCATGTACACCAGAATATGGAGCCATCTCCTATGACAGCCTGACTGGCCTATGGAATTCACGTCATGTCCAAACAGCTGCGAAACTTCTCGTATGAAGTCACCCATGGATAGCTACCTGCAGCACCTTGATCTGGAAGACCTCCAACATCGAGCAGCTCCGACAACGTCGCTACGGTCTAGGACATCATCTTCACCGCAGTCGCCAAGGCGCGGGTTGATGGTATGGACCGGACGTACCTGGAATGGAAAGACCAATATTTTCTTCGTGGACCCCGGACTGAAGGTGAGCGCTGACGGTTACATCGGCCAACTCGTGGAGATATCCTGCCTTCTTGTCGTAACCTTACCTTCTTGGAAACTTCGTACTGCTACAGGACTGGAATCGAAGAGCGTTGGAAAAACTCTCGCCCACTTGGGATCGAAGGGGGTTGAGAACCTGAAGAAGACGGTATATACAACTGTGCTAAGGGCACACCCCGCCCACAGTGGGCGGGGTGTGCCCTTAGCCAGTGGAATACTATTTTGAAAATTCGTAACTTGGTTTCAAGATTTCCATACTAACCAAAAACCAACAAAAGTAGCGCGACGCCAGTTTTCTTTTTTTTAAATCACCAGCTGCGGCGACGCGCAGAAAGTGGCAGAGTATTAACCGATTTATTGACTTGATACGTCGTAGCACTGCTTCCTTAGCCCAACTAGATATCAGTGCCAATGTCACGTACCCCGCTGCTTTCATACTTTGCGTCGGCGTTTCGAGCGTAATTATCCACACAGCGTACGCCAGCGTTCTCATCAACGATGCCCTCTGAACGAAGCCGAGGTAGCCTCTTTGAATAACTTTCCCAGGCACGCCCGTTTGGATCGAAATTACTGAGACGCTCTGTATGGGCCGTGTATAACTGCACGAAGGTAGGTTCGAAGACTTGTACTTTGTTCAAATTTGTTCATCGATTCCAATACATTTCATTTCACATTTCATTTCAGTGTTACTGATTATTGCAATCACTCAGTAATGATCAATAACTTATAGTGACCTGGTCGCAATTAAGGAAGATCAACTAAAATTCTTTTCACGCCCGGAAGTTTGAAAAAGGGAACTTCAAGGGACGTCTAATGCTATTACAATCCAAATAGGGTATCTCACTGGTTTCACTAAGTTCCTCAAAACACATTGGATGTACAGCATAAGGTATCGGTGTGATATACTACTGTGATCAAATAACCAATGACAAAACTTTGCGAAAGCGTTGGATGAGAAATGGTGGAAAGATACGGCAAGGAAAGGGAACAATTGTGAGTATAGTCTCGACAGCTAATTACCACACTTGGAAAAACCGACAAAAGCCTGGAAAAAGAAGCGGGGATAGTTCGCTCCACGAGCGACTGTTATTACGGTAATATGAAATCATCGAAACTTCTGAGGTGAAAGAGCTCTTCCAAACCCGCCATCCCACTATTAGATCATCCCATTCAAAAGTGCCGAGACATATAGAGGAATGGCAGAAAAGCAAAGGGGATAGGGCAGCGGGCTACTATACCATTTGGAAGCTAGTACCTTTAGCTGTGTATCTGTGAAATTTGGCGAACCTTCCCTTACAGGAAGTTCTCGAGAAATTGCAAAGAAGCTTGAGTGGCCCCGCGAGTCTGACATCCCAGCTGCAAATGCTGCCCGAGTTATGTCCGATAAACTGAGGATGGTCAAGAGGGTGTGCGCATGGGTACCTAATTTTCTTGTAGAAGCACGAACGCAGTACCGATTCTATGCCTCTAGCAGTAATGTTCTCAGCATGAGATGTCATTCACGACTGTGAAAACGCACCCCGGCCCTAGATGAAATATGGGTGGTCTTGGACCTCGAGCCAAAACTCACAATCGTCAATTTTGTATGAATGCAGATGAGAAGCCGCCCGAGTTCTACCATGAAGAGTTACGTGGGCGCAAGTGGATGATCATCATAGCGAAGGATTCCCACACTGTGGCTTCAGGGGCTCTATACAGAGAATAAAATCGTCGCTGTCGGTTCATTCGCCAAAACTGTCATTAACAGTTACTCGCACTTGTTGAAAAATCGAAGGTACCAGAGGTCCAAAGGCTTTCGGGGCACTGGGAGCGGGTCATTGGTGAAGGAGGGATTTACTTAACTTGAAGCCAAAATATTACTTTTTTATCTATTCTCCTCTTTGTTTTATTCGAATAAAACCGACGGCACTTTTGAATGGGATGACCTGATATACCATTTTCGCCTTAAATCGGACACTTTTCAAATCAAATCGGACCACACTCCAAGTGAAAAGGATTGGTACCGATAAAGATCTGACTCCGCCCACTTCACAATCAAGTGATGTAAGTTCTGAATTTTTATAACTTCTTTCGACGTCGGTTTTTTCACATTCAATCTTCACAAAACGAATATAGCCATGCACACACTAGCACACTAGGCCCCGCCCCTCTGACCACGCCCACTTTCGTTTTTCGCGGAATTTTGATTTTTCTTCCGAATTTTCACTTTTTTAGGCTGTGACAAGCGGCCCCGCCCACTAATGGAAGCTCCGCCCACTTTTCAAAAATGATGCAGATCGGCGAGCTAGTGACCGTACTAGCAGGTTATGGCCTCTCCCGTCACCGTCACGTCACATAGAATGAAAAAAAGGGAAAGACCACAAAAAAAGGGAAACTTGACGGGAGAGGACATAACCTGCTAGTACGGTCACTAGCTCGCTCTGCATCATTTTTGAAAATTGTATGATTTAGAGTGGAAATGGTATATATAATCCGCTGTGTGTGTGTCTGCTGTCTGTTTGTTTATCACGAAAGTCATGGCTCCAGTCACAGTAACATTGCGACGTTGTCTCCAAGATATGGTATAGGGCATGGACAAGAACATCATTGGTGGGTGACAGGCTTTTGGCGAAACCACTTTCTCCTGCAAATATAAGCGTGGTTCGCTGGGTTACTCTGTCCATTGCGACTCGATCAACACACCGCGATATGAGCTGCTCAATGAATGGACAAGTTCCGTTTTCCATTATAAAACCCTGGCGTGCGCCTGGCCGAGCCAGGCCGCTTGAAGAGAAAGAGGAGAGTTCGGCGTGAGCCGGGCGATCTGATTGGTAATATAGAAAGCCAGCATCACTCTGAGATATTCACACATTTCTTACTTGCTGAGGCTTTCCCTTCATGCTAGGAGGCAGGACGTGAACTACGCGAAACACTGCATAACCCAAGATTTATTCTAGCTGCTCTAAGCACTTATTACTTCTCACAGAATAAATAGTTCGCGGGCCCAATTGAAACCCGGCACACGATGTGAAGATTATATCTGGCACTAGAGTATATGCAACAGGGTACAGCGTCGTTGTGCGAAATACATGTGGGGAGCGGGTGGTGCTTGGCCGCTTGGGAGGGAGGGGTTCGTATTTGGTCGCTCTTGGGAGAGGGGAGGGGCTATTTAGTCGTTGATGGGAGAGGGATGTCGTGTGTCTTAAGAAAATTTTGCCGCTTTGAAAAACTTTCCCGGTTGTAGACTTTTTGCAGTCCCCCCCCCTTAGTTGGTGGCGTTGCCAAGGTTTTATATACCAACTATTCCTGGTAGTTGAAAATAGCAGTTGGTTTCTGATGACCTCCCATCCCACCGCCTTCCGCTCGACGAAAAATTTTTGTGGGGAGAATGCAGCAAATTCTCGGGAAGTTTTTGCTGCGCTGCTCCCCCAGGATATGAAGCGAACGCCCCTTACTCTTTGCCGGAAATCGTTTGATGCGGTGCTCGCCTTCCAAATAATATCTCTAGCTTTCCAGGCGCTGTTAGCACCATTGGACTGTGGCGTGGTGAGGGGGCTTCCTTCTTTAATATGCGCAGGTGTTATCCACTTCTTACGATCCGAGATGGCCATGGAGGCACCTGAAGGAGCGGTCAGCAATGATGCACGAGAATGGAAAGGTTTTTAGGGAAAGGTGGGATGTTTTTCAAAGGAAAACCTACCAGTCTCGCGGAGGAATGTCGTCAGATAAGGGGGGCAAAGAAGCTATGCTGATGCAGTGACAGATCCTTTTTTCCGATGACGCTGCACTGCCTTCACTGCTTCCCAGCGAAAACGATGCTAACGAGGAGTAGCATAAATCCTGTACTTGCACCGCTGAGTGCTGCATTCGCTGTGAGGTTTCAGTATCGACGCAAGGGCAGCACCCTGAGGAAGGCGTGCGGAAGTTCGGAGACCGCACCCGTGTATGACTACCCTACAGCCCAGTTTTACTCATTTTCGAGCCAAAAAAGGGGCAGCTACAAGATCCACACCCACAGCGATAACATTCTATAATTACAGAAAAAAAAAAGAAGTTCAGGTTTAGTGGGCCGCCATCAGCATTGATACAAGCGTTAATTCGTTTCTTCATGGAATCGATGGTGCGGCGCAGGTAGTTAACGTCTAGATTGTTCCAAATTTTGATCAATTCTCTTCGCAAAGTCACCAGATTTGTTACATTTCGACTCCTAAGTTGCTCTTCCATAAATCCCCAAACAGAAAAGTCCAATGGATTCAGATCCGGACTGTTCGCAGGCCACAAATCCTTTGTCAAAAACGAGCCGATTTTGGTCTCCAGGAAGTGAATCGTTGTTTTG